CATTGAAGGTTGTACGACTCTTTGACAAAGCTGCCAAGCATTCCACAAGCCCAAGTCAGCCATCAGAGGAGTCCTGTGTGTCCCAGAATTGGGTCTGTACTGTCATCCCTATCAGGTAGGTCAAACTCAGAACTCAAGAGCAGACCCATGGATCTCAGAGCGCAGCAGCTGGGCTCTTGGCTAACTGTACTTCCTGTAATGGGAGGTTGCAAGGTACATTCTCATCACCATCATACCTGACAAATGTTTCCCTCCCATTCAAATTTGTTTTCATTCTGAATTGCCTTACCTAAAAATGTAATCTTTCAATCAAGTTGATAAAAAAAATGCCATAAAGTTAGTTCATCCACTGAATAAATGTTAATGCTCAAAACAAGATGAAAATTCATAAATAGAAATTAATCAAAATAAAAAAGAAGCAAGTCACATGCTGATAAAATAAGACAAGGGTAAAAACCCAGTAATGGGGATTTTATGGAAGATAACACATGGAAATAAAGCTACATATACAAATATATTTTTGTATCAATTTGAGACTGTAAGCAGCCATTTAAACTTTTATAGGCAGGAGAATGATATGCTGTTTGTGAATTTAAAATAATGGTGTTGATGTATGGACATTTCAAAAAATAATTTGTTGAATTAAAGGAACACCACATGGATTTCTTTTAATTAAATAATATGGAGCTTTAAAATGGGATTGGCATTGTGGCCTAGTGGGTAAAGTTGCTGCTGCAATGCATTGAGATGATTATTTCAAGTCCTGGCTACTTCACTTCCAATCCAGCTCCTTGCTAATGATCTGAGAAAGCCACAGAAGGCCCAGGTGTTTGGGACCCTGCCACTCACGTGAGAGACCTGGATGAAGCTCCTAGCTCCTGGCTTCACCCTGGCTTAGCCCAGGACACTGTGGCTATCTGGGAAGTGAACTAGTAGATAGCTCTCTCACGCACTCTTTCAAATAAATAAATAAATCTTTTTTTAAAAAAATGAAAGGCCATAGGGTGGGCATTGTGGTGCAGTGGATTAAGCCCAACCTTGCAATGCTGGGATAAATATCGGAATGTCAATTAGAGTTGCAGCTACTCTGCTTCTGGATTCAGCTTCCTGCTAATGCACCTGGAAAGGCAACAGATGATGGCTCAAGTCTTGGAACCCTGTCACCCACATGGAAGACCCAGATGGAGTTTCAGACTCTTGGCTTTGGCCTGGCCCAAGCCTGGCTGTTGCATGCATTTGGGGAGTGTACCAGTGGATAGAAGAGTGACATATCCAGTGATGCATAAAAGCTGGGCTGTTTGACTCCAAGGGACTCCAGTCTGAAGGCTATTTTAGTTTAAGAGTGCCTTCTGTGTGACTGAGGCAGCTAGTCATTGGAAATGAATTTCGGCTAGGGATACTCCTCTGCCCAATGCTGCTTCTCACCCCACGTGTATAAAGGTCCTGGTCCCAAGAGCATGGCCTGACAAATGCCCCCACTCGCACACATGCTAAACTGCACTCGGAGACTGCTTTGCTGCCTTCTTCCCGGGAACCCAACCTGTAATGAAAGACAACCACTTTTTTGAAAGTGTTTGCTGAAGTACAATTTGCATACAGAAATTGAACATATAAATTTCCACCTCAATGCATTAGTACAAACTGAACACAAGATACAACCAATGCCAGATAAGAACACTTACAGAATCTCAAAAGAGACAACACATTTAACAATTACTCTTTAAACTATCTTATAAAATTTTAACTGAGTCTAACAGTTCTTTGGATTTATGCAAAAGGAAGAAAAGAGAAATTTACTTTATTAGCTTTAGTACCCAGAGATCAAACAAGTAAAAAAGACTCAGACTTTAAAAACTGGTATAGTATTATTTTCAATATTTATGTTGCTTAAAACTAGCTTTAGAATCATGCTCATTAATAGTAAAGAACTAGCTATAAAATAATTGGGATTAGGTAAAAGCGGCATAAATCCCTTCAGATTCACCTCAAGAGAGTCTCCTGACTTCTTCTGCAGAAAAATAAATGCGCATTGAGATAATATCTGCAAGCATCAACCTGGTCCTTCTCTGCCTGTTTTCCAGAGCTATTCTCGTTTTCAGTCATTTTCGGAGTTGGTCCCCTAGCTGCAGAATCCCAAAAATCTCCATGAGATTCTCTTCCCCCAAGCCGTCTGCAGAACGAGCTTTTCATTCCCGAGAAACTATATAACTGGAAGATGATGCGGTCTGGGGGAAAGTGGAGTGGCAATCTGAGGGGAAGGGACACAGTGTGAAGGGGCAAGAAGTGAATTGAGGAAAACAGGCTCTGAAAACAAACTGAACTCCCACACAGCTGCCCTTGCACCGCCCACACCCTTCCCTGCCCCAGCCACATCCACCTCTCACCTATCAGATAATCCCCTCCCCAGAGCACCCCAGCATTTATCTTCCATCTGAATAGAAGGCAGGGGACCCAGACGCTCAGCCTAGAAGAGTTGTCTCCCACCAAAATGAAACCAGACAAAACCGGTACAGACAGGAGGTATTTCCCTCTGAAGCAAGAATGTGGATTCACCACCACTGTCTCAAACACAGCCTAAAAGAAGATACCATCCATGAGGGCCGGCGCTGTGGCGTAGCAGGTAAAGCCGCTGCCTGCTGTGCCAGCATCCCATGTGAATGTCAGTTCAAGTCCCGGCTGCTCCCACTTCCGATTCAGCTCTCTGCTATGACCTGGGAAAGCAGTAGAGATGACCCACGTCCTTGGGCCCCTCTTTCCACATGGGAGACCTGGAACAATCTCCAGGCTCCTGGCTTCAGCCTGGCCCAGCCCTGGCTGTAGTGGTCATCTGGGGAGTGAACCAGCAGATGGAAGATCTCTTTCTCTGCCTCTGCCTCTCTATAACTCTGCCTTTCGAATAAATAAATAAATCAAGAAAGAAAAAAAGAGAGAAAGAAAGAAAGAAAATACCAGCTCTGAATGTGGTGTCTTACCATTCAGAGTTAACTGTTTAAACCTGGAGGGAAAGAATGAATCTAATTAAAGACAATACATGAGATATTCTAGAAATTTTTGGAAGATAAGGAGTGAAAGTCAGAATTAAGAATCCAAAAGGACCAGATATCAGACAATGTGCTTTGAGGCTATTTCAGAATTAGACATAAAGTTTCCATTAAAAATAGAACCAGAACCACGAGTGCAGGTATGAGAGTAATAGAGGGCAATCTTCAAATCTCTCAGACGAGTTCTTGGTCAAAACTGTGAGCTGTAGTCATAGAAGGGAGTATACAAAAATGCAAACAGATTCTGGTTAGTGTAGATGTCACAGCGTTGGGGCAAGTACTGTGCTGTAGTAGGTTAAGCATCTACCTGTGGCGCCGGTATCCCATATGGGCACTGGTTCAAGTCCTGGCTTCTCCTCTTCTGATCCATCGCCTTGCTGATGGCTTGGGAAAGCAGAAGATGGCCCAAGTGGTTGGGCCCCTGTGCTCGTGTGGGAGATGAAAGAGACGAAAGATGGAAGAAGCTCCTGGCTCCTGGCTTTGAATCAACCCAGCTTGTGGACATTTGGGGAGTGAACCTGTAGATGGGAGACCTTTCTCTCTGTCTCTCCCTTTCTGTCTGTAACTCTACCTCCCAAATAAATAAATCTTTAAAAAAAAAGTTAACAAGTATTAACTAGTTAATTATACCTTAAATTTGACATTGTTCTAAGTCCAAGGCTTATGTCATTTGACACGTATGGCTACCCTATGAAGCAAAGATTATTTTCAACCACATTTTACAGATGAGACAATGAGGGCACCGGGAAATTAAGCAACTTGCCCAGGGCCAGAGAGGCAGTAAGTGGTAAAGCCATGATTTGAATCTCAGAGGTCTGGCTTTACTGTCTTTGCACCTGGCTATCTAAGAGACAGAGGTACTATGTAGTAAAACTCATTTCAGGCCCCTGATTGTTTGAGATCCTCTAGTGTTCTACACCCAGTTTTATAATTTATAATTTTTATGATTTTTCTCAAAAAGGACTCCTCTCACTTACATAAGCTTCAGAACTCATAAAACCTGCTAACTGTCAATAAGAAAACTATAGCAGGACATCCCAGGAAACTGTGAATATCTTCTGATTCTCCTTCTCTCTCTACACGTGAATGCATGTGTATATGTATTTATACATATATGAGGGCACTTAGAAATTTGTGGGAAAATGAATTAAATATGTTTATTTTGATGCAAAAATGAAATCCATGAATTTTTATGTAATATGCATTTCCATGAACATTTTTAAATTGTTAATTTTCATCTAGTTGAAAGGCAGAGTGACAAATAGGATAGACAGATCTATCTGCTGGCTCACTTCCCAATTGTGCACAAAAACCAAGGCTGTAGTAGATCAAAGCCAGGAGCCAAGAACCCCATCTGGGTCTCCTACAAGGACCCAAGAACTTGAGCCTTCATTTGTTGTCTCACAGCATTAGCTGGGTCCTCAAAGTCATGACAGGGACCCAAATACTTGGACCATCATCTGCTGTGCTCCCAGGCACACAAACAGGAAGTTGGAATCAAAAGTGGAGCTGAAGGCCGGCACCGTGGCTCACTTGGCTAATCCTCCGCTGGTGGCGCCGGCATCCCATATGGGCACCGGGTTCTAGTCCCGGTCGCTCCTCTTCCAGTCCAGCCCTCTGCTGTGGCCCGGGAGTGCAGTGGAGGATGGCCCAAGTCCTTGGACCCTGTACCTGCATGGGAGACCAGGAAGAAGCACCTGGCTCCTGGCTTCGGATTGGCGTAGTGCAGGCCGTGGCGGCCATTTGGGGAATGAACCAACGGAAGGAAGACCTTCCTCTCTGTCTTTCTCTGTCAGTAACTCTGTCAAAAAAAAAAAAAAAAAAAAAAAAAAAAAAAAAAAAAAAAGTGGAGCAGGAACTCCAGTGTGGATGTTAAGCAGCAGCTTAATCGCTGTGACAACATCACAACATCAGCCCCCTCAGCTGATTTTTATATTAGCACCTTTACCCCTTAAAAAAAAACCCTAGAATTCTTTCAAACACTTAAATGTCTGTGTTCTCCGCACCCTACCCCAACATCCTGTGACTTTTCTGTGCCTTCTGGGAGGAATTACAAAATGGAGCCTTTAATAGGGGAAGGGAGAACTTACAGAAAGCTATTGTGCCCAACTCATTAGTTGCTTTTATGTGTTCTCACGTAATGGTCACGGCAAGTAGGTATTTCAACTCTGAGCGTTAAAGTAACTTGTGAAAGTTAAAATAGCTATTATGCAGTAAAGTCAAGCATTGAAACCAAGGGATGACTGATTTCAACACCCAGACATTACCCAATTCTTCCCAGAATAGTCTTTTTGGAGAAAATAAGATCAATGCTTTTGGCAAAGAGAGTAGGAGAAAACATGTTTGTTCACCTGTCTCAAAGCTAGTGTGTCTGCTCTTTGGTATGAAATGTGAATTTTGGGATCACCTGCAGTGCACGAAGAACTTTGACAAGCACATGGCTCCAGAATCCACAAAGAGCTTTCTTGTCTGCAGGAGACACGCTTGGGAAATAGATACACCCAAGTTTGTATGCACTTGTGTTCATCTGAATGTACCACAGTAGGGGAAGGATTAAATAAATTTAGAGACAGTCAAACAATGAAATATTACTCCCATTAAAAATTGTATTTTCAGAGACAATTAAATTCAATACATGCTCCTATATTACTCCTAGATGCTGGAAGACTGAAAAAAAAATAGCTGTAAAGAACATTACCAGGACAAATGGAAAATTTTTAATATTGATTATATACTAGATAATATTGCATCATTTTCAAGTGTAAACATTTGTATGTGATAAATGTAATTTAATAACTGTGATGTTTCTTCAAAGACACAAGCTTATAAATGTAGGGATGAAAAATTCACAGTCAGGAAATATCTAGTAATATGAAAGAGGTCCACTAAGTAATGCTGAGGTAATATTAATTTTTATTTTGCTACAAATATACATACATAAGAAACAACACCTAAAAAGATACACACCAAAATATAGGCAATGTAGTGAGATCCCACTTGATTTTTATTTTACCCTTTGTTCATTTCTGCATTTGTCCCTTTTCTTACTGTGGTCTGTTGTTTGGCTCCCATCCCTCCCTCCAAGGTACAGGCCCAGGGAGAAATTTAAGAACATGAAAAAGTGGACTGAGCACATTCTTGAGTTAATTAGTGCAAGAGAGTGATGTAAAGCAATCCAAAGTTAGATAAGGTACCAATACTCTCTAACCATCATAGGTTGAATTACGTCATACCAGAGATGGGAATGGCGATAATAAGACCAGATGACTGGGTGAAGGCCTTACCTAGAGATCTAAGCAGTTTGATTTGTCAATTACATTTCAAGGCAAGATATGTATTTTTTAAGCTGTTCAAGGACAAAGAAGGAAAGTCGGAAAACAAGCTAGTCAAATTGTTATGCAATGTAGAAGGTCAATCTTGATGTCCTCTAATCTCAGAACTAGACATTTTTCCTTTCTTCTAGCTGGAGGGGAGAAGTAGAGAAGAAAATTGCTACGACTCTAGATTTGATTTTCCTAATGCCCAGTGAATAAGAGGCTACTTGGGAACTGCCACTCCTGAAGAAATTATCCACTCCACAAAGGGTAAGTGTGGGAGTCTAGGGGAGAAAATAAGGAAGTAAAACAGAAAACAAAAGGACAGCTGAAGGAATGGTGGTGGCAGGTTCCACACGGGGCACTGTTCCTATCTGAGGAAATGTCCTTTTCCAAAGGCCTGGACAGAGAGACCCAGGCCCTTCCATGCTCCGTTCTGATCACCCTCATTTGCATCCTCACCACCATGTCTGTTTGGCTTGGGGATTGTATGTGGAAATCTTCAGTGAAAAATTTCTCACAACTTTTTCATGGTTATTCATGCAAAGCCAGAAGAGTAAAAGTGGTATAGACTAAGTCTTCCCCACACACCCAAAATCTGTGGCAGGCCCAGTGTAGGCAATGGTGCAACGAAGAGAGCCATTCAGGATGGCTTTGCTAGAAAGATAAATGGGCTAATTTCCTTAGCGGTGTGAATCCCTTTGAGACAACAAAGAAAAAAGGAGTTATCACCTGAATTCCACTACAATTAAATGCAACACACACTAAATTAAAATACCATTTCACTTTAACACTTCTATATGCTTTAACACAGAAGAGTAATTTTTTTTAATGGTTGAGGGAGAAATAGGGTTCAACGTTGTGGTCTAGCAGGTAAAGCCATTGCCTGCAACACCAGCATCCCACATGGGTGCCGATTCTTATCCCGGCAGCACCACTTCTGATCTATCTCCTGCTAATGCACCTGGGACAGCAGTGGAAAATGGTCCAAGTACTTGTGGGAGACCCAAAAGAAGCTCCTGGCCCCTGGCTTCATCCTGGCCCAGCACTAACCATTGCGCCACTCGGGAGAGAACCAGCAGATGGAAGAGATTCTCCCCCTCCCCTGCAGATCTCTCTATAACTCTACTTTTCAAATAAATAAAATAAATCTTTAAAAAAGAGGAATAAATATTCCAAATATTTGGTGTTTACTTTTTATAATCTGCTTCTTAGCCTTTTCTTTTTTTTTAAGATTTACTTATTTGTTTGAAAGGCAGAGTGACAGAGAGGGAAAAAGAGATCTTCCATCTGCCATGTCACTCCCCAGAAATGGCCACAGCAACGGGGATTGGGCCAGACCGAAGCCAATGGCCAGGAATTCCACCCAGCTCTCCCATGTTGGTGGCAAGGACTCAAGTACTTGAGCCACCACCTACTGTTTCACAGGTGCGTTAGCAGAGAGCACTCCAATATGGGATGCAGGCACCCCAAGCTGCAGCTTAACCTGCTGCACCATAATGCCAGCCCTTCTGAGGTCAAAAATGAATAAGGTCTATCTAATAAAATAGCCAATGGGAAGCAAAGTGGTGTCGGATTGTGCTGTACAGTTCTCTGATTCTGTGTGTGCTGTCAGGGTGAAATATCAAATGATAAATACAGAAGACAGAAGAGGGCATTTTCTGGGATCCTAAGACTGTTTCATATCTGCGTCCCTGCCTTTGAAATACAGGGTAAAAATGTGTAAGGCTGAAGGAGAAAACAGATTTGGATCAATGAGGAGGATGAATACAAACTCTAAAATAAACTGAATTACCTGGTGATCTCTCTCTATGGCCTTGTGTGCTGATTAACACATTCAATGGTCAATGTCCCCACATCCTAATCTTCAAGTCACAAAGGCAAAAAAAAAAAAAAAAAAAAAAAAAGAATTAAAACAAAAAAAAGAAAATTCTGTGATGAACTTTTTCCCCAAAATCCCTAGTAATTAGGCTGTTGTGTGTTGGTTGGTTAAATCTTATCGGTTGTCTTGTCTGCTTTATGACTCTGACTTATCTGAGTGGTGGGAGGAGGTAAAGAAAATCCCCACTGACTGATGAAATTCTGCAGTGCAGTGCAAGCAAAGCAGAATTCCATTAAAAAAAAAAAAAAAAAAAAAAACACCTGCGGGGACACACCAGTGAGAACAGGGTGGGGAAGAGGGAAGAATGAGACACATGAAATCAGACCTCTACCTACCAGAATGCACTTAGAGGTCAGCAAAAGGAGCTCAGCCGGACACCACCGCCCTGATAAACACTGACTTTCTGAGATAGGAGAGTGGCTTCATTTGACCTTCCAGGGATTGAAAATCTTCTCAACACAAAGAGCAAAAGCACAGGAAATAATCTTATAGGAAGACTAAATGAAATCCTGTGGTGTCCATTAACATGATATATGTACTGAATTGAGACTTTGCTCTGTTGTCTTCTGTTAATGAACAACAGAAGGTTCCAGTCTCTTGTGATTAAGTAACACAAGTGATAATATTCACACCAATGTTTGCAGAATTCTGAACACATGAGTGTTGCTCAGTGTGAATACGCTAGGCCTCATGGGATGGGAGGAAAAGTGACTTTTCAGAGAGCAGGCTGAGTCTTGAGCCCCTCTCACTCACCATGGAGAGCAGAAGACATGCACCAGAGATCTGGAGAGATTGGGTTGCCCCAGCCTACGGAGCTCTGTACACAGGACAAAGACACAGCATTTAAGAGTCCAATGAAGGGGCCACTATAGTGGCATAGCAGGTAAAGCCGCCACCTACAATGCCAGCATTCCATATGAGTGCTGGTTCGTGTCCTGGCTGCTCCACTTCCCATCCAGCTCCCTGCTAATGGCCTGGGAAAAGCAGCGGAAGATAGCCCAAGTACTTGGGCTCCTGCTACCCATGTGGGACACCTGGAAGAAAGTCCTGACTCCTGGCTTTGGTCTTGCCCAGCCCTGGCATTGCAGCCATCTGGGGGGTGAACCAGCAAGTGAAAGACTGATCTTTTTGTCTCTTCCTCTCTCTTTCTCTCTCTAACTGCCTTTTAAATAAATAAATAATTTTTTTTTAAAAAATAAGAGTCAATGAATAAATACACTTGCAAAAAATGGCATGTATTTTTAAGATTGGCCTAAGACAGTGGAATACAAGGTAGCGAAGGCTAGTTCTATCTCCATGGTTTGAGTGACAAGCACACACATGGGGTAGTCTGGATAATGAATTTGGTTAACACCACAGGATCTGAACAGGATTCTCCTAGTGATGTTGAAGTTGATTGTCTAATTTGGTTGTTCAATGAGGGCTCAAGTCAATGGAAACTCTTGGGGAGGAGAGTTGTTCAGACCACCTGATGTACATAGTGCTAACACATTAATCATCTTAATCAACAGTCATTTTTGGTCTTAGACCATGTTCTCAGAAGGTCAGGGCATTCCTCAGGCATGGCTGGTCAGTGAGCAGATGGTGAGAGGGTCTGTATTTGTCCCTTCATTTGGGAGGCAAGGGGAAAAGATAGGCCTGAGAGCCTCTTGGAAAGAGGCTGGCGGGAAACTGTAGATGAGGGACTCGTCTGTCACATTGTAGAATGCTATATGTCCAGATTCGTAGTCTAGGAAAACACCAACCTTGTGCACCGGCTGTCTGACATGTTGGCCTTTTAAGGGTGATGAGACCCAAAGACTGTAATCATCTCCAATTTTCAAACCTATGAGTGAGAATAGGTCCCCAGGGGGCTTTGGGAGATTCCCCTTTCTGCTCACTGAGTCCTTGCAGATGCCCACTTCCCACTCTGTCTTGTTTCCCACTTCCACCTCCCAATAGTGTCTCCCAGAGGTAAAGATCTGAGTGCCCAACACAGTAGCAGACTGGTCAAATCTCTCCGGGTTGTCAGGTAACTGTTGTCTGGTTGCTCCATATCGTACACTTTTCAGATCCTCAGACAAGACTAGATAGGCATTGGCTGTGGCTGGATCCAGAGTTATATCCGCTGCAAGGTGAGAAAAGAATGAATCCTCCTGTGTCATTCTTGAAAAGCCTCTTATATGTGCTGGATTTTAATTAAATTCTTAGCATTTAGTCCTATATTTTAGGAATGTGGCTGGCGCCGTGGCTCAATAGGCTAATCCTCCGCCTTGCGGCACTGGCACACCGGGTTCTAGTCCCAGTCAGGGCGCCGGATTCTGTCCCGGCTGCCCCTCTTCCAGGCCAGCTCTCTGCTGTGGCCAGGGAGTGCAGTGGAGGATGGCCCAAGTGCTTGGGCCCTGCACCCCATGGGAGACCAGGACAAGTACCTGGCTCCTGCCATCAGATCAGCGCGGTGCGCCAGCCGCAGCGCACCGGCCGCGGCGGCCATTGGAGGGTGAACCAACTGCAAAGGAAGACCTTTCTCTCTGTCTCTCTCTCTCACTGGCCACTCTGTCAAAAAAAAAAAAAAAAAGGAATGTAATTTACGTGAGTATAATGGAAGGGGGGAGGGTTGTTTGAAACAGAATCTCTGAGCTCTTCTTTTACTGCTGCACAAAACAGAGAAACCCCTAGAGGGAAACAGAGAAGAGTCAAGTAGGAGCACTATTTAGCCTGCTGGGAGGGGAGAGAAATCTCTGATAGGAGAGTGAAGCTGTGCTGTTGGAAGACAGCTTTAGATGGCAGCTGCCTGTGCTCACAGGGACACCTTTGTTGTTTGTATTCATGTCAGCCAGGGTGGGCTCTTGTTCTCCATCTGAGTGGGAGAGAATGTGAGCAGTTACCATTTGTAAATTCCTCCCTATGTTCCAAGCGACTTCTTTTTTTTTAAAAAAAAAAGATTTTATGTATTTATGAGAGGAAGAGTGACAGAGAGAGAGACTGAGAGAGAGAAAAAAAAAATTTAAAAGACCTTCTATCCATTAGTTCATGCCCCAAGTGGCCACATGGGTTGGTGCAGACTGAAGCCAGGAGCCCAGAACTCCATCCAGGTCTCCCACATGAGTGGCAGGGCACTAAGTACTTGGGTCATGTTCTACTACCCTACAGGCACAACAGCAGGGAGCTGGATGGGGAGAGGAGCAGCTGGGACTTGAAGCAGCCCTCCAATATGAGAATCCAGCATCGCAAGTGTCAGTTTAACCCGCTGAGCTACAGCATTGACTCCCATGCCAAGCAGCCTCTGTACATTCTCATTTAAGCATTATAAATTTTTCCATTTAAATAGAAAAGGATAACAGGCTCAGAAAGGTTAGGAAGCTTCACCAAGACTCAAAGTTACTGAGTGCTTGAATTGCAACTCCTAATCAGCATTTTTCATTGTGTCATGTTGAGGTGCAGCCTCCTCTGAGTGCAATCCCCTTTGACTATCTGATGAAGCACGTGGTAAGACAGCACTTCACAGTGACACAGGGAGGAAGTCACAGAAGGGCTTCCAATGTTTACTGCCTGTCCACATAAAATTAGGTGCCCCGGTCACATAATTTCATACTTTTATTTATAGACCAATTTCCAATCATAACTAATTATCTGTAATATTGATACCTGTCTCTTCATTTTCACTGTCCAAAAGCAAAGGTAACACCTGTCTTACTCATCATCATAGCAAGCTCAGAGCCAAATAGCATCGTACATAGTAGTTACTTAACAAACATCTAGCGGGTCCAAAGCTCTTTAGGCCTGCCTCTAAAGGTCAGATTGTCCACAAGGTAAAAGCTGAGAATCGTAGCCCATCTGAATATCTAAAACGTTCTCAAAGGATAGAGTTCTTTGGATGTTCCTTCACTGAGATTGAAGAGTTTAAATTGAATTTTGTCTTAACAGGAACAGAGCTATAAAAGAAGAAACCTCTACATGAAGGGTAAGCACACGTGCATGTGTGTGTGTGTGTGTATGCATTCACATGAACCCATACATGTGCAAGGGATGGGACAGACAAAACAGAACACTAAAAACAAAACATCCAGACTCCTTAAAAAGCAAACAATGACAGATGAACCATCAGTCCAGGCCAGCGGTTAAGATGCTGCTCTGGATGCCCACATGCCCTGTTAGATTGCCTGGGTTCGAGTCCATGCTCCGCTCCAGGTACTAGCTTCCTGCTAATGCATGTGAAGGAAGACAGTAGGGATATCTCAAGGAGCTGGGTCCTTGCCACTGTGTGTTCCAAGCTCCCAGAGATCTGGGGAATGAACCGACTGATGGGAGCTCTCTCGTTCTCTCCCTCCCTCTCTCAAATAAATTAAGATTTTAAAAGAACATCAGTCACGTCTCACTGCTTCTTTCTGCCCAAACACAGAAACGTTCTGTGGCCCCGCCTTCCCTGGTGCATACTGCTGGCTCGGGATACCTGAGGCCCTAGCATCGTAGGATGAACATTTTACATTAGAAGAAGCAGCCCAAGGGCTAGTAGTGATCACTTAACATATCCTGAAGTTAACTCTGGACATCTCAGAAGGTTCGACAAATCGACTTACAGCTGAATTTTCTTAGCATCTCCCTCATTCCAGTGATGCGGCACAGACTCAGTTCTGTGGTGGTGGCCTCTGGACACTGAAGCAAGAGTGTCTCGCTCCTACAAAAGAATGGTGACACATGCTCACCTTGGCCCAGACGGCACACCCTGCTCCAACGTGACAAGCCCACCTCATTCGTAATCTATTCCATCACCACCAGATTCCCGTATCTTACGTAACTGAATGCAGATGGACACTTACCTTTCCAGTGCTCCTCTCACTTCCTGAGGGCAGAAGAGAAAAATGATTATAGTGTTTGTGCATTCTTATCACGAGCAAAAATCTGATCCTTTGCAAAATTCACGGAATCTGCTTCCCATGGCCCTACTACACCTTACATAGAAGGAAATATAGTAGGAAAAAAAATCCCTAATTTCCTCTAGAGGTGGTTTGGTTGAACATTGGATATTTCTCCCAATGACTACAGAAAACCTCATCTTTTTATTTTTCTCATGATGTTGTCAAGAAAGCCTGTAACTGATCAAGGAGCCAAACTATATCTCATTATTCAGTACTTTAGGGAGCCAGAGAAAATTACCCAGTGAGAATCCAGACTAAGCCTGAATAAGGCAGGAGTAGTTAGTTTGAAAGACACTGAATTAAAAAGTAGCATTTTCCAGAACTGGTCCAGGAAACAGATCTGAAACTGAAGATGACTCACATGGTTTAAAAATTTAAGAAGGTCCCAGAGAAAACAATAGCCAAGAAAGGCAGTAAAGCAAAAATGGTGAGGAAAATGGGCTCAGTGCACAGAACATCTGGGCTCTACCACCAAGTAGGTATTTCAGAGGCAAATTACCTCACTGCCATGGATGTGAATGATCAAATAAACACTGCTATAACTTCAATCTGTGGCTTTCAATCACCTGTAGCCTGTATCATACTAAAACTTAGCTTCATCAAGACATCATGAAGATTAATGTACCCAGCTTGTAGTAAATGCTAATCAATGAACTTAATAAAAAATATTTGATAAAGCTGAGGTTGCAAAGAGGTAGGTACAGAAAAAAAAAAAAATGGAATGATTATCAGGCTTGTTTGGGATAGAAACTCTTCTGTTATTTCCACCTTTTCTTCAAGACTTTACCGGCGTGTAGAATATCAGTTATTTAGGAATATTACTTCGGGGCTAGAACTTAGTTTCTTTCAAGTGAACACAGGAAAATTTATTTCCTATGCCTTGAATTCTATGAGCTGGTATAGTTTTTTTTTTTTTTTTTCCTTTTTTTTTTTTAACAGATAGAGTTAGACAGTGAGAGAGAGAGCGAGAGTCAAAGAAAAAGGTCTTCCTTCTGTTGGTTCACCCCCCAAATGGCCGCCATGGCCGGCGCTGTGCCAATCTGAAGCCAGGAGCCAGGTGCTTCTCCTGGACTCCCATGCGGGTGCAGGGCCCAAGGACTTGAGCCATCCTCCACTGCACTCCCGGGCCACAGCAGAGAGCTGGCCTGGAAGGGGGACAACCGGGACAGAATCCGGCGCCCATATGGGATGCCAGTGCCACAGGCAGAGGATTAACCAAGTGAGCCATGGCGCTGGCCCCAAAGTATAGTTTTTTTTTTCCTATAAATTTTCCTCATCCACCTACAAATTTTAGTCTCACCTCAAAAGATTCTAAAGTTGAGTTCTGAAATGCAGACTCAATCTGTCCAATCATTTTGCTTAGGCTTCTGATTAGCTGGGTCAGCTGGATCTCATTCTCCCTCAGTTTCTTCATGTTCTCTCTTTCCTCTTTTTCTAGAAGCTGAAGTTGTAGCTGCTCCTCTTCCTTCAGGAACTGGTGCATTTTCATATATTCTGACACAACAACCTGTTTACAAGTCTTTGTCTCTTCCTATCAAAACACACACACACACACATACACACACACAATATAATAAAGTTAGTAACAGAAACACAAGTCTGTAGATGTTTAATCCTCACAAAGACCCAAAGTTCACCATGACAATTCTTGAAACCTACAAATAACACATTTATTTTGCTGAGTACCTGTTTGGAGAATTTGGTGTTTTTGAAAGTATGCATATGTGCTATCGATACAATAGTAAGCAAAACCTCAAAATTTCTCCTCTCAGGAGCCTGTCAGTCTACTGGAAGAAAACAAAAATAAATAAATAAAATGACAGGTGGGGACCAATGTTACAATTAAAATAAAGCAAAATAAAAGTGGAAAATTATGAAAAATGTGTGTGCTCATTAATTCAACAAATATTTATTCGATGAAAGAGGCTTTGGGTTACCTACTAGGATTAGAAATATACATCACAAATACTACCACTTAAGGACTCAAAAGCTATTGAGAGACTCACATCCACTCATTTTTTACAGCTAATTAAACATTTCATTCTTTGCTTTAAGTGCTAGGCAGCTCAAATCTAAATCTGTAACTAACCTTGAACAGTTGTTCAGCTTTAATTCAAGCTACTATTTTGCCTTTATGTCCCCTTCTCGTTCTTTTAGTGTGTATTTTCCCAGAAAGCATTTGGGATCATCTATTTAAGAACTCACTGCCATCCTATGTTATGTAGTCAGAGCCATAATAGAGGTAACCACAGAGTTGCTTAGATGCACAAAAAAGGGGAGGAAATATGTCTGCTTAGGAATGAGGGAATTTGAGCTGAGTCTTGAGATTTCCAAGTGGATGAGCTGAGGTGGGCGTGGATATTGCATATTGCATACCAGAAAAAAATTGCCCGTTTTCCTGGCATTAAGTACCCTGCCCCCATGGTCCCCTCCAGGGAATCAATCATATATAAGATCTAAGAGCAAGGTAGATACTAACCTTACACAATATCACTCTCTCCTTCTCATGGGTTAATATAATCTGAGCTTCCTTCTTCTTTTTCCGCAAAAGATTTAGGATTTCCTGGAGTTTCTCCTGCAAAAGAAACAAACTCTCTGTGGCAAACCAGGAGAGCATCAGGTCATGAAGGGACCTCGAAGATAAATAACTGCAAACCAAAGGATGGAAACAGGATCCACAGAGGTTCGTGATGTGGTGGCAGCACAGGACCTCCAGGATTGACACCAATAGAGAATATTATGATAGCTGATGGAACCTGATTTATGTTCTGAGTTTATACTGAGCAGCCAGTCTTACTTTGTGTTGTTCCTCAGCCTCACTTGAGAGATACACTCTGTTTACTCCATGGCTTTGGGTTGAGAAAGAATTTGTACTCTGCTCATCATCAGAGAACACCTTAGTGGCTGCTGCTGCTGCTGCTGTTCTCCCAAAGCTGCCTTGTTCATCCTCATTCTGTAGCACCTGGGATCTGAGTTGCCTGCCAATGCTGGCCAGCCTCCCCAAGCGCTCATTGGGCTGGAAGTGGGGGCCCTCCAAGGTCCTCCAGCACTCAGGACAAGACAAAGGTGTATTATGTTCCTCCCAGTTCTTGAGGAGACACATCAGGCAAAAGCTGTGTCCACACTCGGTGGTCACCGGGCTGTTGAAGTAGTCTAAGCAGATAAAACAGGTGAGCTCTTCCCTGAGATTCTCCATCAAATCTGCTGTAGACATTTTCTCCACGATAGACATCAAGGCAAGCTTACACCTCTATTCTGGGATTAGAAAAGTCTTTCCTGCAGTTCTATTGTTTTGAACAACACGTGGGTGACCGGTTGCTCTGTTGTTATTACAGGAAATTCTTACTTTCCTCTGTGCCTGGCTCCACCAATCCACATATACTCTCCCAACACAAAGCCAATTATGACTTAATGTGGAACTCCTGTACACAGGGTTCATCATCAACCCCAAACTTTTATTGAATCTTTCTCTGTGTAAACCATATGCTAGAAACTAAGGATATTTGCTCCAAACAGATTAATCTTTCAAGAGTTGATTATTGTATAGAAATAGCATCAGAAAACCATTAAAACATTGATTTTAGGCTGGGAAGGTGAGCATTTTGGTGTCATCCAATACAGATATTTGAATTATGATGATCTCTAATAGTGTCTGAATTACAATTTGGTCCAAGTATTTTGGGAAACTTCACTAATGAAACATAGTTAAGAACAGAAAAAAGAAAAACATAGTCATGCATTCCTTCTATCACTACCCTTTTCTCTGCTTGATAAAACTGGTCAAGTACTGTGTATTTTTATTTAATTTTATTCATCCCAACAAAACGAGAACTATTCCGCTAAAGCATCCCTTGACTTTAGATAGATATACAATGGATTACCAGCTTATATCTATTGCTCTACCCTGTAGACCATAGTACTCACCCATTGCCTTCATGGAAAGTGTTTAAGGCAACATTCTTCTTGGAAATAACCACAAGAGGCAATTATTCTGTGGAGAAGATGAATAATTATATTTTAGTATAATTTTTCTCATTTACTTTCAACCTCTGAAAATGTCCAAACTAGTACTTCTCAAACCTCTTATTCTCCATCATGAAAATAACAACGAAAATAAGAGAAATAGGAAACTCATTTATTTTAGATCTATGAAAAAGTAAATGCTTTATGAGGAGATGATATGTATGACAGCCACTCCAATTAATGTGAAATGCTATGAATTCACCATGTCTTGCGCTTATGAGTCAGCTCTTGTCATGGCCCACCTTCTATACACTCTATGCCAGGAAGTGAGACCACAAAGCTCTTCCTCAAAGTCTGACCACTTTGCCTCTCCCACTAAATTCATCATTTAATACGTCAGTTTTCAGCTTGTCACACTCCAACTTGGCAACCTTCCCTGAGTCTCCATTATCCAAGTTATTCCATTAATTTCTTTGACTTTCAAGTCTCTGACTAATCCTTCTTTCCCATTGATTCCCAACAGGATGTCGAGTGTTTTCTTATCTTGAGCTTTGAGAAAAAGAAAATTTCTGGCCCCAAATTCTTCTTCCTCCATTTATTTCCTCCCAGTCAAAACTCACCTTCCTGGAGTCTAATTCAAAATGGTTTAATCATATGTCCTTTGTATAACATTTATGAATTATTGTGATGAGAATTTAAACTAAGAAAAAGAAACATCAGACTATTTTAAACAGGAAGACAGAAAACATCATGAAACCTATATGGCTTAGGTTGTTTCTAGGCTATTAATAGCACACCTCCAAAATATTGATAGTAGTTAGTTTCAAGAAAGGATCTTGCAAAAAAAAATCTACAATACACTAACTTCCACTACTGAGAAAGGAATTTATGAACTATCATCTCCATTCAATGTATTACTCCCAAACAAACGCAGAAGAAGTCTTTAACATTGACCAAAATCATTGGAATAAACCTTATAACAGAGTTATGGTACATCATAGAGCAAGTATTCCAATTTGGAATAGAGGAATGGTATATTCTAAGTTTCATTCACACTGATCTGTTCCATCTACTTCCTTCTTCCAAATAAGCTCCTTTCTTGTATAAGCTTTGTAACACAATAACCATGTATTATTTATCTATGAATAGAGTAATTCTTTGTGCTTAACCAGGAATCAATTTATCTGTAAGTTGTCGCTCCCCCTCTTCGTGGAGGAACGACACAGGACCCTGTGTTGTTCTTTTGTCTGCTCGGCCCTCCCCGGGTTTGCTGCTGGTTCTTCCCTGGTTGGCTACCGTCCCTTTCACCTCTGTGGAATGGCGGTTCCCCCTGCCACTTCCGCGGGGGAGCGGCACACCACCGGCCGGCTCTCTCGGGGGCTGCACAGGTGTTCCTCAGGTGTTCCTTCAGATAGATGTTCCTGGTGCATGTTGTCTCTCTCCTCCTTTATAGTCCTCTTCCACCAATCCCAACTCTGCTACCCACACGCCGAGTACGCTGCTCTCCTCCAATCAGGAGCAGGTCCTACAGTTTATTGGTTGAACTGGAGGCAGCTGTGTAGAAGCTGTTTCCTCCTCTCCCAGCGCCATATTGTGGGAGAGCAGATGCATAGAATAAGTCTTAATTCCAGTAACTTAGTCTAGTCCAAGTTGCTCCCCACATAAGTAAGTTTCAAATGAAAAAATAGAAGAACCATAGAATCATAGCCATCTATCTAGATAGAAGCCAAAAGATCATGTATTCCAACTACCTTCCCAGATGATAAAGAAAATTGAAGCTTAATTAATTGAGTTGACCCCCTAATACTTGCTTATTACCTAAGTAGGAAGGATCAAGACTAGAAAATTAGTCTCCTGTCTCCTAGTTCTTCTCTTTTGTCAACACATTGCCCTGAAGCACACTGGTTTTGTGAGTGGAAGAAAATTTACAATTATCTCAGTGAAATGAATACTGCTCAAGTTCTGTCAGAAGGAAATGAGACAGCTGTCATTACAGTGTGATGATATGACAAGTATCTGAAGTCACTGGCTACAGTCACTCTTGGGTATGCAGACTCCTTTACCATCTCTTTGAACACCTTGACTATGTTTCATTCATGGATGAAATAAATTCATAGAGTTGGCCAGCTGTGCCACAATGCCATTCCTACAAATACTGTCTTAATCACTGTTCCACAATGCCCATTGGAACATTTTCTCAGTAAAGAAGTATTGGGGAGGGGCTAGTGCTGTGGCACAGTGGGTTAAGCCACTGCCAGCAACACTGGCATCCCATATGGGTACCAGTTCAATTCCTGGGTGCTCTACCTCTGATCCAGCTCCTTGCTTATGGCCTGGGAAAGCAGTGAAAGATGGCTCAAATCCTTGGGCCCCTGCACCAACATCAGAGACCCAGATGAAACTCCTAACTCCTGTATTAAGTCTGGCCCAGCCCTGGCCATTGCAGCCATTTGGGGAGTGAAACAGAGAAATGAAAGATCTCTTTTTCTGTATCTCCCTCTCATCTAAATTTAGGATGGATAATTATGGGAAAGAAGATACAGTCTAATTTCTTTCCCTTTGTGAAGGTGGTAAATATGAAATCTAATATTTGAGATTATTAGAGAAAAATAATTGAGTTAATGTCATATGAATAGGATTTAATATCAATAAAGAATAATGGTAATAATGGTAGATTAAAAATAAAACACATTGGCCGGCGCCGGGGCTCACTAGGCTAATCCTCCGCCTTGCAGCGCCAGCACACCGGGTTCTAGTCCCGTTCGGGGCGCCGGATTCTGTCCCGGTTGCCCCTCTTCCAGGCCAGCTCTCTGCTGTGGCCAGGGAGTGCAGTGGAGGATGGCCCAAGTGCTTGGGCCCTGCACCCCATGGGAGACCAGGATAAGCACCTGGCTCCTGCCATCGGATCAGCGCGGAGCGCCGGCCGCGGTGGCCATTGGAGAGTGAACCAACGGCAAAAGGAAGACCTTTCTCTCTGTCTCTCTCTCTCACTATCCACTCTGCCTGTAAAAAAAATAAATAAATAAATAAATAAATAAATAAAACACATTGTGTGCAAAGTTCACATGCTCTATGTCTTGCTTCTAGGAAACTATTTTCACTTAATTCTCCAATAATTGTCAAACACCTCTTGAGTTTTAGGTGGTGAGATGTATCTAGATCTAAAAATCAATATAAAGTATTACCCATATTAGAGTAGTACTTTATAGGTAGGAAAGCAAATGCTTGTGTGTATACTTTGCTTCCAGCCTTTTTAATGAACTTCACCTTTTACTTTTCTTTTTAAGATTTATTTATTTATTTGAGAGGCAGAATAATGGAGACAGGGAAAGACAGAAAAAGAGATCTTCTATCTGCTGGCTCACTTTCCAAATAGCTGCAATGGCCAGAGCTGAGCTGATCTGAAGCCAGGAGCCAGGAGCTTCTTCTGGGTCTCCCACATTGGTGCATGGGCCCAAGCACTTGGGCCATCTTCCACTGCTTTCCAAGGACATTAGGAGGGAGCTGGATGGGAAGTGGAGCAGCCAGAACACAAACCTGCATCCATATGGGATGCCGGTGCCGTGGGTGGAAGCTTAGTCTACTACACCACAGCACCAGCCCCCACTTTTTACTTTGCTTAAGGAAATTTTAATACTTATTCACAAGACTATCTCTCACCAAAAAATGTATACTTAGAGGAAAAATACATGAAACTACTTGATACAAATGTACATCACCTCTCATGAACAGCCCCTGTCTGAACTATTGAGAAACAGATTTTTTTGTTTTTTTAGTTTTTGTTTTTTTGTTTGCTTTTCTTTTTCTTTCTCATACAAAGTGTTGAACTCTTTACCTAGAATAGAGTTAATCTTCTCTGTGTAAAGTTAGATGCAAATAAATCTTAATAAAAAAAAAGAGGGAAAAAGAAGAGGGGTGAGAGTGTGGGTGAGAGGGTGGATACAGTGGGAAGAATTATTATGTTCCTAAAGTTGTATTTATGAAATGCATGCAAATAAATAAATAAATGAAAATGTAGATCACTCACTTCGTGCCAGGTACCATTCTTGCACACATTAACTAACTAATTAAGTAATCGTCAAAGCCCTATAGGGTAAGCATTAATTTTAGGCCCATTTACAGATGAAAAAACAAGGTCTAGTTATATCATTTGCCTTAGATCCAGAGTCTAATTGAGTCTATGATTTAACTCAGAGCTATGCTGCCCTCTCCACAGAATCCAATGAGACACAGATATTCAGATCAAGGGGTTTTGAAACTGCAACCAAAAGCAGGTGTGCTGGGCAAGGATCCAGTCAAGTCCATCGCCGAAGGTGAACTAACTTAACCTCCCCCTTCAACCACCCAGTGGTAACTGGTGCTACCCAGGGGGCGCTCCTCCCGTGTTCACCTATCA